AAAATTTTAGAGTCCAAAGTCACCTTAAGGTCGTATTATGTTTAAATTCTAATTTCAATGGTTTCAAGGAGTGAACGAGATGGAAGACAAACTTTTTTATTGAAAAAGTTACAAAAATCTAAGGAAGTTTCACGCTTGATTGAAAATTTTAGAGTCCAAAGTCACCTTAAGGTCGTATTATGTTTAAATTCTAATTTCAATGGTTTCAAGGAGTGAACGAGATGGAAGACAAATTTTTTTATTGAAAAAGTTACAAAAGTCTAGGGAAGTTTCACGTTTGATTGAAAATTTTAGAGTCCAAGCTCACCTTAAGGTCGTATTATGTTTAAATTCTAATTTCAATGGTTTCAAGGAGTGAACGTGATGGAAGACAAACTTTTTTATTGAAAAAGTTACAAAAATCTAAGGAAGTTTCACGTTTGATTGAAAATTTTAGAGTCCAAGGTCACCTTAAGATCATATTATTATGTTTAAATGCACATTAACACTAGAACTACCGACCAGGTCAAAATGACCCATTAGCATCTTTCGAGAAAACGTGAATGTTCAATACTGGTAAGTGTTACCATTTGTAACTTTCCAAATTTATTTTCTACAGGTATGCTTCTATTTGTATCGATATGAGTCGAATTTTCCAATTGTGGTTTACTTAACGTAAAAATTCACTTTTGTAAAGTCGGTAATGTGTCATTCTGACTCGGCCGGTAGTTCTAGTGTTGAAGTAACAAGACATAGGTGACCTTGAGAAAAATAGAAAAAAAGTGGAATTTATAAAAAAAAAATTTCTTCCACCTTTTGAAATTGCTTAAATTAAGTGGAAAAATGTTCTCCCACCGCCATAGCTTGAGAAGGCCAATCACGTGGCCAGTTTCACGTGGCCCACCCTGTATAATAAATTAAAGGAAAGTTGGAGGCGTATCACTGACAATGATAAACGTAAAGAAAAAGACATTGCTTATCAATCAATGGAGTAATTACAGTACAAGGGTATCAAAAGCTTACTTTCTTGTTATTCCATTCCGGCATGCATAATTACAGTAATCAGAAAATAATTATATCAACCAGCATGTTGCACTGTAATTCCTATAAATTCATCTACATATTCTGCTTAACAAGTAAATATAAATTTATATAACATTTTATACCCTTTCGGTTCGTGTCCACACAGTAAAATCACATTGCCCTATTAACTTTCCAAAATGTATCATATCATTCGAAAAAAGAAAAAAGGAAAATAATTAACCTTACCTCTAACAGCTTAATTACTTTCTCTAAAAACAATGATCAGAAGTTATTAAAAAAATACTTTTTTTTTTTTTT